GCTTGCCTGCACCTCCTCTAGGGCTTTAAAGTTGAAGATCAGATTAATCCCCTCAGTGATCACTATGAGAAAACTAAATTTATCCTTGTTATTTTGTCAAAATTTAGTTTGATGTGGGCTAATTAGTCATTTTGAAACAAATTGAGGGCAATTTAGGACAAGAGAAAAATAAAAAGTGTGGAAATTCCACCACATGATTAGTTTTTCTAAAAAGCCAACAAACAGTAAATAGCTCCTGCGAGAATCTTATGAACCGAAATTAATTAATTAATTAATTGGATTTTTTTTTAATATTAAAAAGGTGCCAAAGGGACAGTACTCCGTGTACGATCAACGAAAAGATTCCGATTCAAGTGTCAATCAACTCGTCAACTCGTCCGAGTTCACCTAGTTCGAGTTGGCTCGAACAAAACTCAGTTGATCACCACATTTTACTTAGTGTGCCACGTGGAGGTTATCAAATAAATCTTAAGGTTTTTAAGAACTCGATAGCTTAATACTTCTTTATAAACCAGAATTGGGTAATTTAACGGCTAACTAAGACTTTTGGATAAATTATTTAAAATATTTTAAATTTGATTTATTTAAACTATTAAAATGATTTATTCGATTGTCAACTTTAGAGCAACGGAGGATCAGTAGAGGTGCACTCAAGCTGGCAACACCCCTGATTACAAAAAAAATAAAAAAAATAATTAATTTTATAGGGTTTATTACTAAATTATTTTAGTTACGTGTTGGTGCTAAAGTCTCGTATTGGTTAGAAGACGAGGGTTTTGATCATTTATATAACATAAGCATACTTTTACCACTTGAGATGTTTTTTTAAAGATAAAACTGTACAAACCCAGAACCTAAGGCGGATAATATTTTTGGAACCTACCTACCATGTGTCTGAATTTGATATACACATTTAAATACACTGTTTAATAAACCGAGTTAAAATAGATCAACGTTATTATAAAGAGTAGTACTAGATCTACAATCTAATTTTATAATCTTCTCTCCCAACTTCTAATGTGACAGTTCGTCATTGGTTAGTTCGTAAAATAGGTTATGTCTATGCATTTGCGAGTTAACCAATAACGAGTTATCACGTCGAAAGTTGTAAACCTAATATTATTGTAATATAAATATATTGAATGATTTTAATATTGCAAGACATAAAATAATTCTGGCAAATATTAATCGGATATGTAGAATAATTTTATATAAAAAAGTGGTGGGTAACCGACTGAGTTAAAAGGCGAGTCGGGAGCGAGTTGACTCAGAGTTACGGATAGAGGACGCGGAGACGCGAAAGTGACTTTTTAAAGAGAGAAACCACACGCAGAATCTTCGCGTATTCAAAATTTCGTTTCCCAGTCCTCTCCTCACAAAACAAACTTTTTCTCTTTTCTTTTTCTTTCTCTCCAAACAGAACAAAAATACTTCTCTCTCTTCTCTTCTCATCTCAATCTCAATCTCATCTCATCTCAACAAATACATACACGTATTTTTATTTTCATTTTATATATATTTTTTTTCCCCATAAATCTCTGTTTATAAACATTTTCTTCTATATATCTATCTATCTCTATATATACACGCAGATCTCTATTGAACTAAAAATTCTTTTTTCCAAATTGGGGATAGGATATTAAATAGTAAGAACATTAAGACTTAAAATTGCAAGAACCCTAATAGCCTTTAAGCTTTTAGCTTTAGGTGACGTGTGGCCGTTGAGTAAAGATAACATAAAATAAAATATAGTTTTGGAATCAACAAAAGAACCCAATTTTCTACTCCACCCATTAATTAATCAATTTAGTGATTTTGATTCCCTTTGAAATTGCCAAAAGATCATCAACCATTTTCCACAACAAACAAGAATCTTTTTCTTTTTCTTTGTTGGTGACGGCAGATGTTCAAAACAGCTTGCATGCATTTCAACTAATCCTTTAACATTCAAGAGTTAACGACATGATTGGGTAAGTCTCCAGTGACCACTCCTATTAGGGGTTAAGATAGATCGAATTCAGAACCTCTTAAATAATACACCTAAGAGTCTTAATTCACCACTCAATCACCCATGAGTAGGGGTGTTTAAAAGACCGCTTTTCTAAAACGAACTGGATTTTTGGTTCCGAAAAATTTTCAAACCGAAACCGAACCAGTTTTAGGGAAAACCGGTTTTTCGGTTAACCAAAAAGCCGGTTAACCGTTTTAAAAAAAGTGGTTAACCAGTTTTGAACCGGTTTTCCCTTTTTTTTTTATAAAAACTTTTTTTTTTTTTAAATTTTGTCCTAAATTAAATTGTAAATATAGACAATACATTGGGAACTAAGAAAAAAAAATTTGGGTTGGGATTTTAGATTGAATGAATTAGGGATTTATTTTAGTTTAGGTTATTATTTATTTATTATATATATATTTGAAAAACAGGTTTTCGGTTAACCGTTTCTAATTTCTCCCGAACCAGTAACCGAACCGAAAATTCGGTTTTTTGAATTTTTCGAACCGTAACCGAACCGTTTTTTCAGTTAACCGGTTTTTCGGTTCGATTCAGTTTTTGTATTTTTTTGAACACCCCTACCCATGAGTGATTAGAAACAATAATCAAGCTAGCTTGCACGCACGTACCTCAACTAATCTCCTAAGATCCTGAAGTTAACGATCAAGTATATTCTAGTAAAAATCCTATTAAGGGTCGAGGTAGATCGAACTCAATAATTTAATCAAGTCCTAAGTTACGCTAGATACTAAAGGTAATTACAAATAAATAAATAACCCAAAGTACACGTGTTGGAATCTCAATGGTGGTAGCCTCCCTCAACGTTCCATCTTGGTTGGCCTGGCCTTCCTCTATTTTTCCCATAAACCCAATTGATTATTCTTGACCAATCTCATTTTCTGTTGGCTTTGGCGGTTCGGACCCTTTGGATTAAAATATTTTTCCCTTAATTTTGACTGACCATCTTATTATAATAAATACCCATTAAAAAATTATCATTGGGTTAAGTCGGGGATTTGACTAATTCTAGATCCTCCCACCTTAGAAAAAATAAAAAAATTTGACTAATAAGATCTATGTTACCGCTAATTTATATTATTTTATATCTAAGTCGGGTCTAAAATCTCGAGATAATTGTCGCGTTTTCACGTCTAACCCACTTCTAATTTAATATTAATATAATTGATCTGATTCAAGATAATAATCTAAATATAATTAAACTTATTTTTTTTAAATAATAAAATAAAATTACTACTTAGTAATATGAATTGGGTAAAACCGCTATCCTTATAGTTAGGCGGTAAGACTTTAGTCATTTGAGTAGATTATCCAGATATTTTGTGTTCGAGTCTTATAAAGTAACCACCTATCACATTTATGACTTACTTAACTTGTTGGGCTTGTAAGTTAACGTGTGTACAAGTTGGTCCAGACACTCGGGTTATTAAAAAAATATGCATTAGGTGTCATTTGTTAAGTTTTTCGGAGAGAGTCTATGTGAATGTGATTATTACTATTTGGGTAATACTATACTTACAACCTAATCTCACAAATGGGTCTGACTACCCATTTACGAGCTGCCACGCTGTCACATCGAGATTGTGAGAGAAAGTTTGTAAGATTTGGTTGTGAGCCAATATTTTTATTTTGTTAATCGGAAGTGATCAGACCAGCTTGTTTGCACCTCCAAGGCCTTAAAGTTGATGATCGGGTTAATCCCTTCAGTGACTACCGGTATTAGGGCATGTGAGAAAAATAAACTTATCCTTGTTATTTTGTCAAAATTTGGTTTGATGTGGGCTAATTAGTCATTTTGAAAGAAATTGAGGGCAATTTAGGACAGGAGAAAAATAAAAAGTGTGGAAATCCCACCACATGATTGTTTTTTCTAAAAAGCCAACAAACAGTAAATAGCTCCTGCGAGAATCTTATGAACCGAAGTTAATTAATTAATTAATTGGATTTTTTTTTAATATTAAAAAGGTGCCAAAGGGACAGTACTCCGTGTACGATCAGCTAAAAGATTCCGATTCAAGTGTCTTCAACTCGTCCGAGTTTCACCGAGTTCGAGTTGGCTCGAACAAAACTCAGTTGATCACCACATTTTATGTAGTGTGCCACGTGGAGGTTGTCAAATAAATCTCAAGTTTTTTAAGAACTTAATCTAACCGTAAACTATGATTTTTGGGTACATTATTTAAGATGTCTTAAATTTGATTAATCTAGGTTATTGAAATAATTTACTCGATTGTCAATTTTAGGATTACAAAAGATTAGTAGAGGTGCACGCAAACTGACGTCATCCCGATCACAAAAAAAAGGAAAATTTAATTAATTTTATAGGGTTTATTACTAAATTATTTTAGTTACGTGTTGGTGCTAAAGTCTCGTATTGGTTAAAAGACGAGGGTTTTAATCGTTTATATAACACAAGGATACTCTTACCACTAGAGATGTTTTTTTCAAGATAAAACTGTACGAACAACTCAAAGCGGACAATACTTTTGGAACCCATCTACCATGTGTCTGGATCTGATATACACGTTTAAATACACTGTTTAATAAACAGAGTTAAAATAGATTAATGTTATTATAAAGAGTAGTACTAGATCCATAATCAAATTTTATAACCTTCTCTCTCAACCCCTAATGTGATAGTTCGTAAAATTGGTCATATCTGTCCATTTGCGAGCTAACCAATAACGAGTTATCACGTCGAAAATTGTGGACCTAGCATTATTGTAGTATAAATTTATTGAATGATTTTAATAATGCAAGACATAAAATAATTCTGTGAAAATATTAATCGGATATGTAGAATAATAATTTTATAGAAAAAACGTGGTGGGTAACCGACTGAGTTAAAAGGCGCGTCGGGAGCGAGTTGACTCAGAGTTATGGATAGAGGACGCGGAGACGCGAAAGTGACTTTTAAAGGGAGAAACCACACGCAGAATCTTCGCGTATTCAAAATTTCGTTTCCCAGTCCTCTCCTCACAAAACAAACTTTTTCTCTTTCTTTTTCTTTCTCTCCAAACAGAACAAAAGTACTTCTCTCTCCTCTTCTCATCTCAATCTCAATCTCATCTCATCTCAACAAATACATACACGTATTTTTATTTTCATTTTATATATATTTTTCTCCCCATCAATCTCTGTTTCTAAACATTTTCTTCTATATATCTATCTATCTCTATATATACACACAGATCTCCGCATTCGTTTTTCTCTCTTATTTCTCTATCAGCTTCATTACCCAGACCACCCTGAACCAAGCCTAAGCGAATAATAGAGAGAGAGAAAGAGAGAGATAAGAAAAGGATTTTGATTGATTTTTGATACCAAACAAAGGGATATTTCAGATATGGGTTCGGTTTCACCTGAACTCAGCTTGGATTTTAGACCAACTTTTCTACCCAAAACCGTCACTGATTTTCTCAGAGAGGTGTCGATGATCGGAAACGTTTCTGATAAGGTTTCTAAACTTGACGCCTTTGTCAAGGGATTGGAAGAGGAAATGAAAAAGATCGATGCCTTTAAACGCGAGCTTCCGCTTTGTATGCTCCTCTTGAACGATGGTTCGTTTTATTTCTTTATTTTAAATTTTCTAATTTAAATCGTTGATGCTTTGGGATTTTTGTTTTTGTTTTTTATCATATGGTTTTGATTAATGGGTATTTTGTGAAATTTTGTGTTTAAAAAAAATAAATCCAAAATATAAGCTTTTTGTTGTTTGTTCCTGATTATTTCTGATCATATTGTTGTGGTTTGCTGGTGGTTGCAGCAATTGTAGCATTGAAGGAAGAATTAATGCAATGTATATCATCAAAGAATGTGCAACCAGTTTTGGAGGAATTTATTCCCTTGAAGAAGAGTAGTTCTGAGGATGAAGATGAAGAGATTCCAGCAGTTAAAAAGGAAAAAGATTCTAGTAAAGATAACAAGAAAAATTGGATGAGCTCTGTGCAGCTCTGGAACACTGATGATCATCAAACTACTGATCCCATTGTTGATCTCAAACAGAATACGAATCTAAAATTTAAGGTAAAAAACTAAGATGAAGCTTTTTGAGTTTGTAGTTGTGAAGTCAAGCAAAGGAACTTTCGAAAGATAAAAAAATTGATGGCTGATTAACTTTTGTTTGTCTTGTTGTGGCAGAGAAATGAAGAAGAGAATCTATTCCAGGGCTGTAAAAGCAGGACTGAAGCAAGGGCATTTATGCCATTCAAAGCATATCCTGGTTTTGTTAGGAAGGAAGACAAAGAGGAATTGCCTGCTCATGGGTTGTCTCTTGTTACTCCTGGAATAAAGAATCCGAGAGAGGATACAGGATCTAGTGGTTCGAGAACGAGTTGTAGCAAATCAGTTTCGTCTTCTGCTCCTAATGCAAGGACGACAGGGCCGCAGCCACCACACCAGCAGACTACCAGGAAGCAGAGGAGATGCTGGTCCCCTGAGTTGCATCGGCGGTTTGTTAATGCCTTGCAGCAACTTGGAGGCTCACAAGGTAAGCCAATAAACTGAATTTCTGAATTAAGTTGATGATTTTGTTGTGTTGCATGATACTGTTGTTTTAATCTTGTGGTTGAGGAGTTAAAGATACAGTAATTGAATTGGATTCCTTCAGTGTTTTCTTTCCATTGTAAGATTAAATGATTGAACAGTAAAAGAAATGGAAACTGTGGCACCGACATATTTATGCGGTTTCTTTTCAAGGTTGCAATGTATAGAAATGGTTAAACATTGTACAACACTAATAATCTATGTTCAGGGCAAGAAACTCTCTTTATAATGATTTTCTTTTTCTTGGCAAAGCAATACAGCGTGAGTTACATTCTTTTTACTTTCAAGCAGCTAATATAATCTTTTGTGATCATTTGCAGCTGCCACTCCAAAGCAGATTCGAGAACTTATGCAAGTTGATGGCTTGACCAACGACGAAGTGAAGAGTCATTTGCAGGTGAGTTCTTGCTTTACCGGCGGTTTCACTTTTAAGGAGGATGAGTAAAATATTAAACATCTAAAACGCGTAGGAAAGGAACTCACTTCTAGATATAGAAAACTTCTTAACAGATTTTTCTCCTTTGAAATTTGAATGCATGAAGGTTAATACAAGTAATTTTTTTTTTATGTCATTGTAGAAATACCGACTTCATACTCGTAGAGTACCACCTACTACTACAGCTGCTCCTGCAAACCAATCCGTAGTTGTTTTGGGGAGTTTGTGGATGTCCCAGGATCAGTATGGTGACTCCTCAAAGGGCAGTTCTCAGTCTGGTTCTCCTCAAGGTCCTCTCCAGTTAGGCGGGAACACAGGAGGGACCTCTACAACAGGAGGTGATAGCATGGAAGATGACGAAGATGCAAAATCCGAGGGATATAGCTGGAAAAGTCATATTAGCAAACCTGGAAAAGATGATGTATAGAGTGTATCCACAATGAATTTTGCAGATAAAAAGTATACATGGGAGGAATTTTATGAACTATATAACAATAATTATATAATATATAAAGGAGAAGGATCTTTCGAGAGAGAGAGAGAGAGAGAGGCTGTTAAATTTTGCAGGGTTAGCTTTTCTTCTGTATTGAATCTGAGTTTTGTTTTCCCGGAATTGATATAAGGATTCTAAAATGCTCCATGTTTTTATGGATGAAAGTGAGACCTTCTTATTTCCATGTCATAAAAGCTTCTAGTTTGCCTTCTAATTTCTCTGTTATTTAACCATTACAACTTCCATTTTTTCTCCATGAATTTGAGAACTCTCATGAGGAAAACCACAATAAATGCTGCTATGTGCTTTGCCTTACACACAGGGAAAGACAAGATAGATCAAATTCTCTTATATCTGCCTTCGTTTTGGGCAATTAAACAGTAGTAGTTAGGATTCTTTCTCTTTCAATGTCAGTAAACTTTCTGGTTGTCAATAAGATTTGACATTAGAATTGACAGAGAATCTCATAACCCCTTTTGTTACACATTCTTAGAATCAGTCTACTTCACCTCCAGAAAAAATAAAAAATAAAAAAAATTGCAGAAAAACTGATATTCCTCTCATGACTTGAGAGCCATGAATGGTGCCCTTTCAACCTAAGCCAAATCTTTTACACCCCACCAAGAAAAAAAGAATGCAAAACCAAATCTCAGCTTTTACAGTTGACAATGGAGACAAATATTATCAGAAAAATTTTGATTTTGTGGGAATCATTATATTTCAGTGTTCAATTTGGTGGGTGAGAGTGTTTTGGTTGTACAGATTATGAGGACAAGATCTGGACTTCTTATTATTCCTTTACTATCTTATGCTTATATTCAATCCCAATCATTCTTCAAAGGATAAGAATAAGACTAAATGAATCAGTAGTTGATGTTATTCCCCTTAATTTATCCCACAAACCACTCGAACAGTCTCAATTGAATATGACTGCTAGCTTGGGAAAGAGAATTCTAACCATATTTGATTATGACTTGGGGCCTAATCTGTTCTTCTAATTTAATGATCCATAGATTTACCGACCTTGTTTTGCAAAATCTAAGTTCGAAACCAGAACCCCATCACACCCTTAATTTAATCTTCAGTTATGTACGTGTTCATAAGAGGACTCGAACTTAAACCATGTAAAAGCAAATCATAGACCTGATCATCTGGCTAACTTCTACACCTAATTGCATATACTAGATTAGGATAAAAGTATCAAGCTCCGTAAATAAAAACAATAACCTTTAACTATGTAAATACCTATGAGAAAATTCGTATTCGCTTTACAAACCCAAGTTTGAAACTACAGTCGCCGTCTAACCCACGAAAAGTTTTCAACTTAAATGTTGTAAAAGCAAAACATAGAGACTTAATCATTCTTTTTCTTTTTTTTGATTATCGGGGTTGTTTGTCGGGCCAGCTTGTACGCATCTCAACTAATCTCTTCAAGCCTTAAAACTGTTGATTAGGTTAGAACTTCAACGGCATAGCCAAGAAGGAGGAGAGCCAATAATTTGGTGTGAAAACGAACAAGCCATTGATTGGTGAAGATCCCCAAATTTTTATCCTTTTCACCTAACCCTAACCCAGTCACATCCCACTAAGAAAACACAATCACTTGTTTATGTTTATCTGGGTGCATGACAAAACAGTCACAGGCAAAATAATAGAGAGAATCTTATACACAAGATATCATGAATTGAGTTGAGCCCACTCTTGACAGCTCCACCTTTTTTTTTAAATAAAATTTTCTCATAAAGTTCTCTTTCTAATTTTGGCTTCATTTTATGTTAAATTAAATCAAGATTCTTAAATTCCCATTAATTAGAGATTAGAGAATGGAATACTATGCTGCAGCTAAGCAAAGAATGGTTGGTTATTCACATGGGCATTAAATGAAAATAAAGAATTAACGGTTTTTTCCCATCCAAATAATGGCTTACTGATACTTTCGCACTCACGTACGTTTCAAATATTATTTTATTACTCAAATTTATATTCTGGCGGCGAACAAAGAGCAATCTCGGTCTAAGTTATTGAGGCTTTTGAAGAGGGGTGACTGATGAGTCTTTTGATGATGGAAGGTTGGATTTTGGTGGTTGTGATTGATTAGACTACGCAAACCCTAATCATTCGATTGTCAATGATTGTAGTAGGGTTTGAAGGGTTTTAGTAAGTGATAATCAGAGAAGAAAACAGTGGTGGTTTGTCGTTATAATGATGTCAGAATCGAAAACAGAATAAAATTTTGGATAGTAAAGTGGTATTTTAAAAGTCTGTGGGTGGTCCAAAACCAAAGTTAATTCCTTATTTATTTATTTGAATGATTGCTATGATTATCATAGTTTTAAATAAGGAAACCTGCCCAATTGGGTAATGCCCAAAAGCTTGTTTACCAAAATGGAAATCAATAACATGTTTAATTTATAATCAAGTTGTTAATTGTGATTATGTCAGACCAAAGCAAACACATTAACTCTAACTTTAACTTGTTAATCAATTTTAAATATTTATTAGCAAAAAAAAAAAAAAATAATAGTGTAAAGTGGGTTTAATTTAATATTCATTCTTATAATTGTGTTGGTAATAATGTGTTTACGATTTAGGGGTTTAGTTGTGTTATGTTGTGGGGGAAATCAAGAGTAGATAAATTCCCTCTTTGACATGTAGATATCTCGCGATATGGATCTCATGATCAAGGTCGAAGATTATTCTACTCCCCGTTTTGTCGAATTTGAGTTCATTTCCAACTCACTATATAAACCCTGTTGTATTCTGTTTCTAGAGAGGGAGGATAAGTCACAGGAAACCAATTGTAAACTCCTTGTAAATCAAATTACTGTTTCAACACATTCAATAACATAACAGTGGAGGCCTTGCGTTACGAGCAGCCGTACCACTAAAAAAAAATCTCTCTGTTCTTTGTGTTTTATATTAATCCTTGCATATTCCTCAACATATCGTTTTATTGCTGATCCATCGAGGTCATACACAAATCCTATGTATTTCTAACACTATCAATCACGTAGTTCTGGTTGGTGCAAATTTATGCATCAACATGTTAAATTTGTAGTGTTTGTTTTCACTAGATATTATTTTTTTTAATCTAAATAAAGAGTTTTGTTTTTTTTTTTTTTTTTTTTCATTAAGAAATTAATATTTACTGATGTAATTAATTTGGGCCAGAAAGACCCAAATTTGGAGAACGATGGCCCATAAGTGGCTATTGGGCTTTTATGGGCCTAACATTACAAACCAACCCATTAACCTAACCCACAATACATATTACCTGACTACCAAGCAACCTCATTTTTTGTTTTTTATTTTGTAAATTACAAATTTATCCTTAGATTAAATTATAAACTTTCAATTTTATTTTCTTATAAAAAATTTTCACACCTCTTATACATCCATAAAACCCCTAATTTTTTCTTTTAATTTTGAGAATTAGAAGAAAAAATTAAATTTTTAATGGCAGAAAAAGTTACTAACGACACGTCGTCGTAAGTATGTAATTGTTTCTCAATTTTTTTCTTTTAATTTAAATTATATATATTTTTTCATAATTGTGCGATAGGGAATATATAGCATGAATAAAGATAATAAAACGCTTATGATAGGAGATATATAGCATGAATGAAAATTATAAAACAGTTATGATTTATTCATGAAATTTTAAAGCGTAATATTATTTATCGAATCTTATGACCCTTTCTTAACAATTGAATTTGCATGAATTATTTTATATTTATATATTAATTATATTAATAAATAAGAGCTATTTATCACATTTTTTCCTCAAAATTTTAAAGCGTAATATTATTTATCGAATCTTAGGACCCTTTCTTAACAATTGAATTTGCATGAATTATTTTATATTTATATAATAATTATATTAATAAATAAGAGTTATTTATAACATTTTTTTTCACAAAATTTTAATGACGAAATTACCCTCATGAAGATTTGAGGGAAAAGAGTAATTGAAACTACCCTTTTGGAAAAATCTAAACCTTAAAAAAACGGTCAAACCCACAAGCAACGGTCAACTGTAGGAATTGTCTCTCAAAAGAACACCCATATTTGCGCGCGAAATGTGGATTCAATATCAAGTTTACAGTTACTAAAGTTCAGGGGAGAGAGAGAGAGAGAGAGAAAGCAGAAACGATTAAACAAGATTTCACAAACACACTAATCCTCAGATAAGATTGAAGAAAACCAAATCAAGCAATGGCTCAAGCACAAGCCGAGAGGATTGAAGAAAAGAGTATTCAAGAGAAAGAAGGAACAGCGATGAAGAACAGGAATGGGAGTAGTAAAAATAATGGTAGTACTAGTAGTGGGACTGTGCCCTTCAAATTCAATGCTCAGGCACCTGAATTTGTGCCCAGATCGCAAACCCAGATGCCCATTTCGGGATATTACTATCCTTGTTTTCATTATCTGGGTGGGACTGTTGGTGCCTCTGATTGGATCTTTGTTGGGGATCAAGAACCTGTTTATGCCATCTCAAACCCTAATGTCACTCTTCCTAATTCCCCCAAGAATGTCCTCACTGATGATCTCAAACAAAAGATCATCAAACAGGTTACCCTACTTTTGCTTCTTTTTTTTCGATTGTTTTTTATTAGGATCGGCCTATGATCTATTCAAACTTAGATAGAATTTGACCTTATCTTTAGTGCTTTAATTATTAAGATGATTCAATTTAGATCAAGGGACATTTCTTAATTTAGTTTGGCATTTCAATGTTCTGAGATTTTTAAAGGGCTGTCATGAATTTCTTGACACCAATTAAGATCTCTTCACAGCTCGATTTCCATGTCTCTTCATCATCCTCCCCTCTTCTGATCCTTTTCTGATAGACTTTGAGCACATTAAAAAGTTGAATTACATTAATACGGTTAGATCTCTGTTATGATAAACTGGCTTTGCGAGTGTTAGTCACTGTTGAGTTCTGATAACCCTCTTCCTTTTTCATTCCATAAGGAAGACTCTTGATGCATTTAGTCTTTGGGCTTTTGCTAGGATAATTTTTCCAGCTCAAATCATTGTGAAACATTATCTTCTAGTTCTTCATAAGTTTCCCAGTTTATTTCCAGGTACGTTTTGATTTAAGGATGGTTTATGACATTATGAACAATACAGGTGGAATACCAGTTCAGTGACATGAGTCTTCTTGCAAATGAAACTTTATCAAAACACATAAATAAAGATCCAGAAGGTTATGGTGAGGATCATTGCATTGTATTTAATAGATTCCAATTGCTCAAGTTGCTGATTCTTATACTTCCAAATGAAACAATTTTGATTCATGATTGTTGGCTCTTCAACAGTGCCCATTTCTGTTCTTGCTTCTATGAAGAAGATCAAGTCTCTTGTTGGTAATAACCAGATGCTTCCCCAAGCACTGCGGTCCTCTTCAAAGCTTGTAAGTTTTTCTGTTAAATTACACAATCATAGCTTATTATGACAGTGAAAGTACATAATTCAGCATAATTTCTTCAGTGTGCTCTATGAATATTGACATCCTTTTCCTTTCTATGATGCCTTGAAAGGTTCTAAGCGATGATGGTAAGAAGGTTAGGCGTAAACACCCTTTCACAGAGAAAGAGAAAGAGGAATTGCAGGTAAAGATACTCGAACCTATTAAATTACATGGTTGATCATAAAGTTGCTCTTCGAAATCTATTGGAACAATGCAATTTTCTGTTTTGTTTTGCAGTCTCGTACTGTTGTAGCAGAGAATTTGCCCGAAGATCATTCTCACCAAAACTTGGAGAAAATATTTAGTGTGGTTGGAAGGTTGGATCAACAACTTAGTTATATATATCTCTTCCCAGTATCTTACATATGCTCTGCATACTTATAGTTTCTATCATCACCAGAGTGAAAACCATCCGCATTTGTCATCCTCCTGAAATCAATTCTTCACGCTCTAAATGCGATTTCTTTGTGAGTAACAAGGTATGACAAAGAATGGATTAAGCTCATTGTGTTTATAAAAGCTAGAGATCTCTACATAGAAGTTTTTTAATGTAACTTTAATGTTTCTTTTTCTTAAGCTACATGCACTTGTGGAGTATGAGAATTCTGATATAGCTGAGAAGGCGGTATGTTTGTTAACACTAGACTCCTGTAGTTTTGTTTTCAAATTTTATTAAACTTATTTTAACAGCATTGAGAGTTTGCTAACTTCACCAGGTTGACAAGTTAAATGATGAAAGGAACTGGAGGAAAGGGCTTCGAGTAAGGCCACTGCTTAGATGCTCGGTATGTGTAATCACATTGATACTATTCACTACAAACATTGTCTTTGTTCATTCTCCTCTTGTGCTTCTGCTCTATAGAACATTTATAGTTTCCAATTTACAATTGTGCAGCCAAAATCTGTTCTAAAGAACAGAAAGTCAGAGTTTGATGGCATTTTAGATGATGAGGAAGACGCTGAAGATACATATCAGCTAAACCACCCAGATTTGGTCATTGAGAATAATGTAAGTGTCCTAGTTTTCAGAAAATAAGGTTTGTGTTTCCAATCACAGAATGGGAAGCATTTGGTTTCTGAAAAATGGCATTATGATAACTGTTCTGCTGTGTACTTGGGAAATATGTAGAACAAGAGAATGAAAATGTTACAATCTCATGTAAGGTGTTTTGGCAGGCTGAAGAACATTCAATGGGATCAAAGAAGGGATGGGCTAGAGGGCGTGGAAAGGGGCGTGGACGCGGACAAACCCTCATCGGACGTGGGCTGCTGGCCCCATCTCCTCAATCAAGCAGTGCAGCTCAGTCTGAAGCATATGCCAAACAGACTTCTAAGGGTCCTAGAATGCCAGATGGAACCAGGGGTTTCGTCATGGGGCGAGGCAAGCCATCAAGTTCACCAGCTCTTGCCGCTTCATCTTAAAAATTCTGCCACAACTGGGCTGTGCTCTAGCTATTAGTTACCAGATGGCTCTGCAACTCCTGAAAGCAGCAAATGAGTAAAACTAGGCAATAATAATATGTAGTAGACTGGTCTATAATTCTACGTTTAGTCATTCATTCATTCATTCATGTTCTTCTCAGTAACTCAAGATGTATAGTTATGGTCTGTCGCAACTATGACAGTCATAGTACCTATTTGCTCAAATTTTGTCTATCATTAGATTGAGACTATTTTTTTGTGTATCAGCAAACACGTCCGTCTTCTTGCATTTGTGTTATGTTAAAAAACATAACATATTAATAAAAGCTCTACCATAAGATATAAAAGGAAGAAAAATCTGTATCTCTACTCTATGATTCTTCAAGTTTGTCACTCACATTATCTGTTTCATTGGTCATGTAAATTGGATAAAAAATGTTTGAAAAAGTCAGAAACTGTTAGATTTTTATGAAGTAGATCAAATACGGGGTGTCTGAGCTAGCTTGTGCGTACTTTAACTAATCCCCCAAGGCCTGAAGTTAATGGTCAAGTAAGCCGCCCTTGTTAATATTCGTACAGATTCAAACTCAGAACTTCTTGAACAATACACCTAAGAGTCTCAAGCAGACCGTCAAACTACCTTTAAAACTAACTAATTCAGTTGATTGTATTCCTTTGATTGTTGGATGTTTAAGAGATCAATAATACTTTGCGTACTAACGAATTTTACTGACCAATGTATTAACTTAAAGCATAGTACGGGTACCATATGTAATTTTAACAAAGGTTAGTAAGATGATCAATACAATCCGTGAATACGCATAGCATGACCCTTAAGAGATAGGGAGACAGGGAGTATTATCTTTGTAAAGTTTAAGAAAAACTGTCATCGTGAAATTGCTAATATTAAACATATTATATTTAATTAAAAAAAATCAAGTGGCCTATTAGCTCAGTTGGTTAGAGCGTCGTGCTAATAACGCGAAGGTCGCAGGTTCGAGACCTGCATGGGCCAAATTTTTGGTCGTATTTTAATTTGGTTTTAAATTTGTGATTTATTAGCATGTGTATTGCTCGACAAAATACCTGAAAGAGTGTACTTTAAATAGTTATTTAGTGACCATTCCAATTAATTTCAGTCCATATATAATTTATTGTCATGGGAACTTTACATATCATTTTTTTGGGTCTAAATTGACACACTTTCTGTGTATGAAGTTGGTTTATTTAGCATGTCTCATGCATCATCTTATCATGTTTTGTAAAGATAGTGACTAGTTCTCTAATTAATTACAGGAGTCCCTTAGAGGTGGACAAACAGGACCCAAGCCTGGCCTGTATAAGACCGGTCCTATGTAGGCCTGATAGGGGTGACTGGGCTCACCCTCAAGGACCGATCCCTTAGAGGTGGGCAAACGGGACCCGAGCCTAGCCTGTATAGGACTGATCCTATGTAGGCCTGATAGGGGTGACCGAGCCCGAGCCCTAGAGGAGGGATCGACCTGGGCCCGGTAACTCCTCCCCGAGGCCCGGGCCAATCCTGGGCTTTTTGCCCACCTCTACAGTCTACATCCTTTATGCTCTACCGTGTGATGCATCATAATCTTAGATAGTTTTCAAGTACTCGAAAAAATATTTAATACAAAATCATCAATACATTTAGCCGATGAGAGGCGTTGGTGAGATATCCTCTCATTGACTAGTTGTATTGTAACCTGTCGTAGAAACACTTTCTCCAAGTATTATATATGAATTTGCTGTTAGTAAACTCAAATTGCTAGTGACTTAATTTGACCCCCAGTGTTAAGATTTAGTGGGAGAATTTTTTTTCTTTATTATCCTCAGTTTCGTGGAATATAAGGTGATCTAGTGGGGAGTTTTTTCCTTCTTGTTATCATCTCTTAAATTCTCTGTACTAGAAATAATTACATTACATAATACAAAGTGCTCATAGAAGTATCTTACAATAGCCTGCTTTAAACTGACACTTGTACTTCCACTTGAAGAAATTGGTTAAGATATATAAATGGTGCCTTATCTTTTGGAAGTTGACTACCCTCTTTCAAGTCATTCTCATGCCTTCTTGATATGAAATCCTAGTCATGTCCTTTTAGGGTTTGGTTTTATTAATGGACATATGGCTTCTGCATCAATGGTGATAGTTTCGAGTTTTGACTTGCCTGAGTGTAGATTTGAATTAAGAAATAATTTTACAGAATCATCTTATATATAAAATTCTGCTTAGATTAGATAGCCGTCTCTGTTGTCACAGTCCACTACAGATTGTAGTGGGAATGTAAGCAGATTGAATATCTAAATTTAGGTATCGAAGCTGGAGGGTGCCTTTGGATATGTAATGAGTTATAATGTCATCAAAATATTAGATTTCTGATTCAGAATTTTCTTATAACCATCAAATGGCTGCTGCAATATTAATTATGCATTATTCCTGAGCGTGGCCATTAGGTACTGATCACCATTAGTGGCATGGCCACTTTCCAAGCTTAAACCAATGAAAATCCTTCGACCCTCCATTCATTTTGCTTATAAATCAACCATTATGCCCCCGTTTGAGTTCATCAAAATAAGTAGTTTAATTTGCAAAAGCTATGGCTCATAAACTCTTGTTATTCTCCACCATTCCTCTCTTTTTCATCTTCTGTTTGCCACCCCTTGTTTCATCCTTTCCTTCAGCTGGCCGGTTTGGCTTTGGCACGTATGATTTCTATGCTCGATCATGCCCCTATTTGCCAATGATTGTTACAAATAATGTTCAGACGGCTATCAGGAACGACAACCGGATGGCTGCATCCCTTCTTCGGTTGCACTTCCATGATTGTTTTGTGAATGTAATTGTTGCTGTAATCTGTAAATGCTTTATGTTAATACTAAGCTTATACTAAGAGGAAACGGGTTTATTAGATTTTTTATATGGGGCCCCGTGAATGCATGCATTATTAAGAGTGTTCTTGTCTTATTTTATTCTCTTTTTCTGCATAGGGTTGTGATGCCTCAATTCTTCTTGATGACACTGATAAATTAGAGGGAGAAAAAAATGCTTTACCTAATCGGAATTCAGTTCGCGGCTATGAAGTCATCGACAGTATAAAGGCAGACGTTGAAAAAGCCTGCCCATCAACCGTTTCATGTGTTGATATATTGGCTCTTGCAGCTAGAGAGGCTGTTGTTCAGGTAATTTATATTCGATTTATAGTTAATTGTGTTGAACTGATCTTTCTTTCATGAACTGATAGTTTCTGTTATTCTCCGATTTCTGGTACAGTCTGGAGGACCCTTCTGGCCAGTTCAATTAGGCCGACGAGATGGATTAACTGCAAATAAAGCAGCAGCTAATTCAGAACTACCATCCCCTATTGAGCCTCTGAAAAACATCACCGCCAAGTTCATTGCAAAGGGTCTTGACATAAAGGATGTTGCTGTCCTCTCAGGTTCTTTTGCTTTCACTTTCTCTTCTCTATACATTGATATTTTTTCGAAAAATTTTAGATGCTGTAGCAGTATTTGTTGTTGGGTATGATTCATATTTTGCATGGGCTTGAAGTGTCCTGTGCATACGCATTTGAGGGTCCTGCTCCCCGGTGAGTGGGCGGGGGTGAGGGGACAGTGCATTGGACTTGTTATTGTTTTACTAATATTTGGGTCTGTGTCAAAATAGATTTCGGTAAGCCTAAATGGGGTAGGGTTTTCTATTATACGAAGTAATAGTGAGAAACTGGGTTTATGACAAATAGAGAGCGTGAGACTGCAGTCAATATAGAGTGTAATTGCTGCAGAGTTCTGAAACAATAATACAAAATCTCTATTTGAATGCTGGACGTAGTTCTTTAATCGGAACGAAACAGGTAAATCAAATGTACTATTTATTTTTCTGTTTTATTTTATTGCGTGTGTTTGGCTGTGATTTCAACATTACTAAACCTCATTTTTGCTAAATGTAATTGACATGAATTTTGTCTGTTCTTTTACAGGAGCACATACTGTAGGTTTTGCTCAATGCTTCACCTTCAAGCATAGACTTTTTAACTACAAAGGCACTGGGCAGCCTGATCCTGCACTTGATTCCTTTGTACTTCCAAATTTACAAAGCATATGTCCAAATCAAGATTCATCAAACACCAATCTTTCTCCTCTCGACACCGCGAGCGTTTACCGATTCGATAATGGATATTACACAAACCTCATGCAGAGCAGAGGGCTTCTTGAATCTGATCAGGCATTAATGGGGGACTCAACAACTGCTGCATTGGTTAGGGCTTATAGTATGAACCCATATCTTTTCTCCAGTGATTTTGGTGTATCAATGGCGAAGATGGGAAACATTGGTGTGCTCACTGGGCAAGATGGGGAGATCAGGAAGGTTTGTAGGTCTGTAAATAACTGAGATGGGAAGAATAGACTGTTGGTTTTGATGGAATTCGTGAAGTTTGATCTATGCAGGCCATTAGCATATAAATAATCTGCTTCTGGTGTGTGCAATAGCTTATGTTGTCATTGCTCAGAAAAAGTTATTGCCTTCAGAATTTGTTTTTGAAGTTTGAATTCACTTAACTAGCTAGACACATTTTTGAATGAATAACACTTGCTATAAGTTAACCATAGCCCGTCACCCAACGGTCAACTAGAACTCTTGGTTGTATTATTCAAAAGATCATGACTTTGATCCATCTGAGTTGCTAATGAGATGATCATTGAGAGGATTTACTTAACTGTCAACTGTAGGACCCTGAAAGATTACTTGAGGTGTGCTCAAGATGATCCGGACACCCTAGTCACCAAGAAAAATAAGTCAAAAATAAAACCGCACTTCATTAACATAAAAAATTCAATAAAGATAAAAGTTGTTTTATTGGGAATTCTCTTCAAAACAGTCATAGTGGCAGGCCATAGAGACCATTAACATGAGCTGCAGAAATTTGTGCACTCCTCCAGTCAAGCAACAAGCATACATAATTTTTTTAAAGGATAAATAGATTTCCACTTTGAAATAAGAAGAAGAAGAAAAGGTGGATTGAATTGCACAAGGGTCTAGAAAAGAAGCCGACAAGGAGTGCATGGATTCAAAAAAAAATAAAAATAAAAAAACAAGAAATAAAAAAGAAATAAAAAAGAAAAGCCGGTGGTATGATGGCTGAGGCTGGCTGAACCCATCGAGATCTCAGAAAGCACTCATAAATGCCACCCTTTTATATAATTGGATCTGTCAAAAGTATTCTATTTCATGAACTATCATAATCACCATCGTCATCATCATCGTCATCATCCTCATTCATTCACACAGACGCAGAGACAGAGACAGAGACACAGACAATATTCTCTGTTATTCAAATTTGATTCTCCTCAAAACAGGCCAATGGCTTTTTTGGGATTAGGGGCCGGTTCCCAAGTCAAGACTTTGATCAAGTCACTACCCTATTCCCTTTTGTTCAATTTCAATGCAACAGTGAGTGGTGCTGCTGCCATGGTGACTCTTGGGGTATTATCTAAGAGACCCTGAATTCGATTTACTTCCGTTGCTAATAAGAGTGATTATTAGAGATTTACCTAGTTTTTAACCTAAGGGTCTATTTGAGAGTTTTTTTTTTTCACTGGTTTTGAGGGATTTTTAATTAGACTGATTTTGAGGTGTTCTAAAACCATTACTTACTAGATTTTTTATGGACTGGTTTTGACTGGTTTAAAAACTCCTCAAAACCAGTGTAGTGTATTTTTTAGGGGTTTATAAAACACCTCAAATCGTGGTATTTTGACTGGTTTAAAAATTTTATCCCAAAAAAACTCTTTTCCACTATTATGAATCTCTTTCAGAGTTTGCTGTTCTTGGATATGAATTGAGTTATTTAATGGAAAACTCAAACTCATTGGTAATGTGGGAAGCTCAATTTGGCTTCTTTTGCATATATTTGCAGCAAATCTAGTTGTTGAGTGGAAGTCAAATTATCAAGTATGCTAATAGTGACAGCATAACGAATGTCATCAACTAAATTACATATTTTAGTGAGAACATACAAATAAATTAAATAATTATAATGAAAGAACTTACAAATAAATTAAACTTGGAAGGAACTTTGATACTAAGTATTGGTAATTGAAAAAAAAAAAACTCCCAAGTACCGGTTGAAGTTGGGTTATTTTAATAGGCATATATGTAAATTTATCATTTTAAAAAACTGTCAGAATCATCAAAAAATAAACTCTCAAGCCCAAGTTGGGTGTTTTAAAAAAAGTCAATAAAAACCCCTCAAAACCTCTACGGTGGTTTACCCTTAAAACCGTTACGATGGTTTACCCTCATAACCGTTACCATAAAACTCTTAAGCAGATCCTAAACAACCGGAAAATTAATTGAGGTACGTCCCTAAAAAAAAAAAAAAAAAAAAAAAAATCCCCTAATCATTAATAATTTTGTAATATAAAAAATTACATTAATGAAACAATAAATGGTGTTTGATCTAAAATGGAAAAGTCAAAGTGATGAAATTAAAGACGTGCATCACAAGAAATATTAATTATAATAACTATACTATATAATAATTAATAAGCCATTATGCTATCCTTAATTATTCATTTAAATTATAACCAAAGCTAGTGCCTTCCTCTATAATTACTTAGGCATCCCACACATTCGAGAGATGGCTTCAATGCTTTTCTTTTCCCTTTCAGCGTTTGGAGAGCATACAAGGTTGAACGGTTTTAAGAAGCATTCACGTGGGGTGTGATAGTCGAGACGTCAAACGTGTATCCTCTTGTCATATTAACAATGCTTCATAAGACTCTTTAGGAGGAGAGTGTAAAGTTGTTCTTTATAATTGATGATGAAAAAAGGATTAGGTCATCCTTGCACAAACTGGTCGGGAGTTGAAGCCGCTTCCCTTATGAATCTATGACAGGACGAAACCGATAAACCTCGAGGTGATGAATGACGAACGTGTAGGGTTTAACCCCTCTCAAGTGTGATGTTAGAGTGCCGCACAAACCATTATGCTGTGAATACAATATGCTGCTTCTTTTTTTTTTTTTTTTTTTTGTTTTTAAAAGATAAAACTTTTGACCTTTGATAAAAGCAAAGCAAACTTATCTCCGGTGCCTAAAAAGTAATCTTAAAATGAAATGCAAATATAATTATTAATGAATTAAAATTACACCGAAAAACAGAAAAAAAAAAAAAAAAAAAAAAAAAAAAGAATGATTCTGAAATTCTCCGATGAAAAAAACTTGAATATTCTTTCAAATCTCCAGAGCTTCAGTAGGTCAAACTGTATCATGTGATTCTTCCATTGCTATTAAGCATAGCTTTACTATTATTACCTATCGTAAACAGTTTCTTGTCTGTACTGAGATCAGAAAGAAAACACTTCTTTCTTCATTTCAAAAAGTGTTTCTTTAAGTGTTTTTGTTTTAGTTTAAACTCCTCTTTTTCCTTCTTTCCTCTCACTTTCACCCAACTTCATCAGACTCCATTATTCATTTCTTAACACTGAATATTTCTTCTTCTTTTGTTTTTGCCACTTTTAGTAGCCGAACTGACTGAACCCCCTTCCAAGATTGCTTTTTAGCTCTCTTGTTTTGTCTTTGCCTGCTAAAACCTGAAGAACCCTCAAGAGTTTGCATTTGATATAATTCTTTGGTGGGGTTGTTGTATTATTATTTACATGTCTACGCCGCCGCTGCTGGATCAACAGCCACGCCTATGGCGGTGACGCAGCAAGCGTACACGGCCCGTTCGGGTCACGGGTCGGTTGGGCCTGTTATTGCAGTGTCGGCAGTGATAATTATGCTTGGAGTGTAGCGGGCATGATAGGGAGGTTGTGTTCGGGTCGTGGGTATGGGTTGGGAGAGTACGATTTTGAAGGATGGTGTTGAAAGGAAATGCTCTTGTCTTGATGGTAATATCGACCCGCACCCGACCCGTCCTGAAATCCCAGTAGCGGAGCCGGTAGTAGTACAAGAGGCACCACCTACGAGATTAAGGAACAAGAACAAGAACAAGAACGGAAGTCTCATGGAGCACAACCAAGTAATGAATCTTGATTCCATCATGAATGATTATAGCTTTTTGTCTGTATTTTTTTTTTTTTTAATTCTTCTGTGAACAATAATGGATGTTAATGGCAGAAAGATAAGCAGTAAAAAAAAAAAAAAAAATACTCTTATTTTATTTATATGGGATAATTTTATTTATTGGTATTGGTTTCATGGGATTCTTTTGGTTTGATACATTTGAAGAAGAATAAATAAATTAATCTAACATTCCTTTTTAGGTAGAAGAGACAATATTAGGGTTTAAGACTCTGGGGTTTTGGATTTCCCAATGCAGATACTGCCATTGTTGCAACAAAATCAATGGATGAGTTCGGTTTAATATTTCTATCTTGTTCCTCTTAAGGAAATACCATTATATTTTTTAATTATTTTTAGACTCCTTAAGTTTATTAATTTTATTAAATATCCTAGAAAAAATTTAAAAATTAATAAAAACATTCCCACCAATCTATAGTTGCCAGATTCCAGTAATCATCATCGGTGGTAGCCAGAATCTATCACAATGGCCTACAAACGATCGGAACTTGTCGATAATTCGTCAATTTGGCCTTTTTCAATAGTTGATGGCCAGATCTGGCTGTCGCTCTAGCCTTTTCCAGCCAGATCTGATCGGTCTGCATCGTAGCACCAGATTCCAACCAGATTCCGACAGTGGTGGCCAGAATCTGGCACTGTGGGTGAGTAGGGGTTTTTTTGTTATTTTACAAAATTTTTATATATTTGGATGTTTAGTTAAATTAGCAAACCTAGGGGTTTTTTTTTTTAATTTTTAAATTTTACCTCGTAATAATCATTCTATTCAACTATCCAATACTATCTCCAAAATCCTATCCAAAATAATAAACTAAACGCACCTAATATATTAAAAAGAGCAAACGATATATTCCCACCTGAGGTTAAGTGAAATCCTGCCATTTATTCCAGATTCACACCCATAGATTAACACCGTTAATTAATTTTGAATTCTGACGTGTGTTACTACCATCCTATCCTTTACTTTTTTTTCCCCCACACAACCACCATTTTCAGCCTTGTTCCGGTTGGGTTTTCACCCAAAATCACCTACAACCTCTTCCTTGTAACCCCTACACTAAAACCCACCAAACCCCTTCTCCGATGCACCCTCCCATCACAAGAAAACGGCCTCCTTGGCGTTTGTGTTTTCTCCCAACTTTGCTGCCAAATTCTGGCTTATTCCCTCATTGAAAATTCACCCCAAAGCCACCAATTAACTCCCCTTCATCGCCTCTACAAAACCCACCCTCTCATCGGCCATCGTCACTCACCGTTTGCTGCCCAAGTTCCATTCCCAACATTGTACGACAACGTTTTTATCACCTTTTTTTCACCCTTTTTTCTGCCTTTTTGACCCCCCATCCTCCTTTTGTTGCTTTGTTGTGGTTGTTGTGCATTTTTTGGCCACCGGTTATCATCCTCCAACCCAAAATCTCCATTCAAAGTCACGCCTATTAGCGGTTTGAGGAAATTCCTCAACTAGTTGCCCAACCAAGCACAAGCCACTTTCTGGTGATGGG